TAATAATGATGATGCGTGATACGAACCAACCTAGAAACTAACAAAACTGAAATAAACAGCATATCTAGCATAGATACAAGACTATAGGAAATAATAGTGCCATAAATATACTCATGATTTTTCTACATAATTTTCTTTGGCAGGCCATGACAATTTCTAGTCTTATAGTTCAGACTGTTGGAGTTCACCCTAGCTCAGTTTATTTCCTCCAACATAAGGTAGAATGTTTCGTCTACAGAAGATTACATAGACAAATCGTTCAAAACAAGCATGATTCAATCCTAAAATTTTAGGAAGTAATAATTACAATAAATTTCAAGTCCCCATTTCATCAATGTTATTGTCAATAACTTTAAGGAAAAAGAAAATAAACATGTCCTTAATAGTCTTTTGAAATTGAAGGTCTAAAAGATCCAACACCGTCTGATCCAACAAATTAATTATGCACTAAACACGACCTATACATATAAAATGCTCAAAATGTCAAGTTAGCAGGCAACAATTGAAATGTTCAAGCGACTTGTAATTTTTCACATTTTATGGTTCAAAAAGCTTATCAAGGTTAGCAAGGGTAATAAATAAAACTGATTACTAGCTTCGATAGTTTGATAAACATATCAGTGTTCGAGAGAGAGAGAGAACAAACAAATTATCGAATAGCTACTCAGCAAAACAAGAACACCATAAAAGAAAGAAAACTTAAAAAACCATTAACATCCCAAAAACATAACTGACAGAGATTGCAATCGAAATTGGAAGGAAGACTAGCCAAAAATACGCACTTATTTTACATGTAGAGATACCAAGTGGTTTTGATTATTAATTTTAAGTCACGGCTTCTACAGCATCACATGGGATATAAATAAGATCTGACATTAAATCAAAATAAGATAGATAAACCAACCATACCAAAGATAATGAAAAATGTAACATGCAGTGAGCCACTAGCGAGTAGATGCTTCTGGAAGTATATCCTCCCTTACAGATACAAAGATGAGTAATTGTACATTCATTAAGCACATACTACGCAGAGATAGAATTAGAAAATAGACAAATTTTGTTGGCCATTCCTTTTCCTTTTCAGATAACTAGGTTACACAAAGGTTTTAAAATAAGACTGTCTTCGATAGGACAGAAATGTGAAGTAACTTAAATTCTCTCTATTTTAATCTTAGAATGCTAATTTGATCAAACGCCTGATGGAGCAATGCTGCGTACAGGCAGAAGGTCCACGTGTGTCAATCTCCTCCGGAGCAAGCTTCACAATATGGTACCCATTAAATCACTTGATTTTGAAAGTTTAAGCCACTAGATAGGACCCCACATGTATTGTTATTTAAATCATGTCTTTAACAGTGCTCACTTGTATGTAGGCGGGTTCATTTATTCTCCGGGGGGGGGGGGGGGGGGGGGGGGGGGTTGAAGATATGGTTTTCTATTGAGTCTTGTTGGAGAGACCAGGCCTATCGAAAGCCTTGGATTTCTTCTCCATTTTTGTACTGATTTCAAGGAATAATAATTCATTTCACTATTAAATTTTCTCCTCATTGCACCGGGTCCTAACAAATTTGGTATCAGAGCAACGATTTTGGAAGGATGATGCTTGCTGATCAGGTTAACGAATTGGAATCAAGGATTGGAGGAATGCGGCTAGAGATTCAGGATGATATGGGTTCTATGAAGAAGGAATTCCAAAGTGACATGGCCAGAGTGATGGAGAAGTTGGAATTGATGGCCATGAAAATGGACGGACAGGAGCAGGAGAGAAAGGAGCAAGGGCCGACCGTAACTCCAAATGAGAGTACCACAATTCTGAATTTCCAACCAAACCGGAGGAAATTGGAGCAAGTACAGATGGCCGGAGCCGCAGAGGTGAATGGAGAAAGACAGAAGCACGTGGGCGACGATTGGAAATGCCGATTTTCAATCGGGAGAACCACGATGGATGGATTTTTCGAGCTGAGGGTACTTTACTATGAACCAGTTATCGGATTGGGAGAAACTCGAGGCAACGGCACTGTGTTTGGATGGAGAAGCTTTAGCATGGTACCAGTGGAAAGAGAGTTGGAAGCCCCAAGAAGAAATCAAAATCAGCCAGACTGATGGCGAAAATAAAGAAGAGCATCAGTGTTCTCATGAACATAAGGAAATTCAAATTTCACAAAAGAGTTCAAAACTTATGGACCATAAATCCAAATAAATACAGGAGAGCATATTATGCCTAGCATTCGCAAGAATAAATGGATATTCAAAATCCAAAAGAAGAGTCAAAAGCTGAAGAATTACAATCCTTTGTCGTCATTGCCAGAAGAGGTGCTGGAAGGGAATTTTGTGAACGGACTGAAGCCCATGATAAGGGCAGAGGTGATGATGTTAAAGCCCAAGGGTTTGTGCCCTCTTATGGAGTTGGCGTAAAGGGTGGAAGATACAGATGAGTCAAGGAAGCAAGCCCACTTATACTGGAACCACCAAAATATATGAGCCTTAATCACAGAAAATGGAGTTCCCACACAAGGACGAAAACAACCAGTAAATCTATCCCAAAACCAAGAATACTCTCCAAATATCACTTCGCCCCGTTTGGCCCCCATTAAATTAAATTATATTTTATTTTTCTCTCTTCTATTTTCAACCACACAATCTTTCATAAAATAATATTACACGTAAATCATCTTTTTCAACAACTCATTTTTCAAAAAAATACTATTCCCACCATTTTCATTTTCAGAAAATGGGGGCCAAACAGGGGCTTCAAGAAATAAGGGATTCTCGCAGGAATGAAGAAAGAGAGAAGTCGGTCTGCTTTCCAAAAAAATCTCAAAAATAACGTCCAGCTAAAGACTCAAACGAGATTTATAGATGGAAGAATCTAGCATCAGATTGGACAAATCCATCTTTTGTTAGTGTTTTGCATTTCCGAGCAAGTTAAACTAGAAGGTTTGATAAGTTGAGCGCAAAGCCCAGCTTTAGCTAGTCGGAGGTTTGAGGCGTTGGCGAAGTCTTTGTTTGAGGAGAGGAAGACGCTACTGCACAGCGCCACCATTATCGCCACCTGAACAGCGGAGGGCTCCACAATCTGCAACAGGGGTTTGTTTCTCTAGGTTCTTTGATTCAGGGGTTTCAGATTTTGGGATTTTACTTGTGGATTTTGAACGTATTAATTACGGTAATAATAGTTTCAAATTAGTTTTAAGGCATTAATCAAATGTTTAATCTTTTTACCGTATTGCACCTAATTTTCCCTAAAATTAATACCTACAGTCCAGCCCTAATTCAATCGATGTCTCCACTGCACAGTGTGGGTTAGCTACAGCGGCCCACATAGGCGACTCCCATCACGTCGCTGCTCATATCGACGGTCACCTCTGCAATTGGGCCACCGAGGGCAGCAACTAGAGGGGGGACTCCCTTTAGGCAGCTTATTATGCTGGGTTGGAAACGAATAAGGAAAAAAGATTATGTTATCGGTGTGATGAAAAATTTGCACCGGGCCATAGATGTCGGAATAAGGAGCTACAGGTGTTAGTGGTACAAGAAGGGGAAGAGGAGGAACAAAGGGTGGCCGAGGAAGAAGAGGAAAAAGATGATGTGAGGGAGTTAGTCGAAGTCTCTCTCAACTCGGTGGTGGGGTTGACCACCCCCAAGATCATGAAAATTAGGGGATCAATCATGGGAGAGTCGGTGGTGATTCTAATCAACTGCGGGGCCACCCATAGTTTCATTTCAGCAGAATTAGTTGAACGATTGGGGTTAACTACGATAGACTATGTGTTATGGGATGTTAATGGGCACCGGACTGTCGGTCAGAGGGAGAGGAATATGTAAAGGGGTGGTGATTTCATTACTAGGTTTAGAAGTGACGAAGGATTTCTTACCCTTGGAGTTGGGTTGTACTGATGTCATACTGGGAATGAAGTGGTTGGGGTCTCTAGGGAAGATGCAGGTGAATTAGGAAACCCTTACCATGCAATTTAGAGTGCGAAGTGAGCTAATACAGTTGCAAGGAGATGCGAGCTTGAGTAAGACTCAGGTGAGCATGAAAACAATGATGAAAGCATTCAAGGGGGACACGGAATGTTGTTGGAATTGGGGAGTATGGGAGTTGAAGTAAGGCAGAAACAAAGGTCCCCAGTCCAATAGCAGAGGTATTGCAACATTATAAAAACATTTTTGAGTGGCTTAATGAACTGCCCCCATCTAGACATCGGGATCATGCTATCCTCATGCAGCCAGGAACATCACCAGTAAACGTAAGGCCATACCGCTATCCATATTTCCAGAAGAATGAGATCGAGAAATTAGAAAGGGAGATGCTAGACGCAGGTATCATTCAACATAGCTCTAGCCCCTTTTTTCCAATCCAGTCTTACTTGTGAAAAAGAAAGACGATAGTTGACGGTTCTGTGTGGATTATCGGGCACTCAATAAAATCACGGTGCCTGATCGGTTTCCCATACCACTTAGACGAATTATTGGAAGAACTTCATTGCGCCCGAGGATTCTCCAAGCGGGACCTTAAATCAGGTTATCATCAAATCCGAGTGAAACCAAAAGACGTACCAAAAACGGTGTTTAGGACTCACTAAGGGCACTATGAATTCCTAGTAATGCCGTTTGGATTAACTAACGCTCCGACAACATTTCAATATGAGATGAACTAGGTGTTTCGACCCTAGTTAAGGAAATCCGTGCTTGTTTTCTTCGATGACATTCTAGTTTACAATGGGACAATGGAGGAACACCAACAGCATTTTAGTGTGGTCCTGGGGTGCTTGCAAAATAATCAGTTGTATGTGAATGAAAGGAAATGCTTGTTCGGCCAGGAGCAACTGGAATATCTGGAGCAACTGGAATATCTAGGGCACATTATTTCGAGAAAAGGTGTGGCTGTGGATCCGTCCAAAATTGAAGCTATGGTTAATTGGCCCATGCCTCTCTCACTTCGTGAACTTCGTGGATTTCTGGGGCTCACCGGGTATTACCCTCGTTTTGAATCAGGCTATGCTAAGATTGCGTGGCCATTGACAAAGCTATTCTTGCAGAATAAGAAATCTATCAAGCCCAACAGATACACAGCATCAGTAACAAATCTGTCATGGGGCCCATTTTCACCAGCAGCTGCCCATCTAAGTCCAGATATGCAAAGACAATTTTTGATACACAAGACTAGCTATCTACTGCAATTATAACAGAATAATGTGATGTGTAATTTTTTCTTTTGGTGCATGTATAGAGTTGGTTAGGTTGGAATATTCCTTTTGTCTCCTCTATGTGTATATAACGTAAGGTGGCTCCTGTGTATAATTTAATTTTTTTTTCAGTAAGGTGATGAATATAGAATGAGAATTTCTCTTCAATCATTTCTGTTCATTTCCTAATTCAGTGTTTTACATTTCATCATTTTCCCAAATTTACAGCTATTAAAAAAGGATGGATTTCACTGGAATAAAAAGGCTGAAGAAGCTGTCAAGAGGCTCGAGGTTGCTATGACAGATGTCCCAGTTTTGGCTTTACTTGATATTTCACGTGAGTTTGTGGTAGAAACTGATGCGTCTGGGAATGGGTTAGGAGATGTCTTGATGTAAGACCAACACCCTATCGCCTATTTTAGCAAGTGTTGCCCCAAAATGCGAGGCGGAAGTCTGTATATGAGAGGGAACTGATGGCCATTGTGTTTGCATTACAGAAGTGGCGGAACTACTTATTGGGGCGACAGTTTGAGGTAAAGACTGATCAAAGGAGTTTGAAATTTTTTCTTGAGCAACGCACAGTAAATGAAGAACATCAAAAATGGCTAACCAAGTTAATGGGGTTCAATTTTCACATTGAGTATCACTTAGGACTGCAAAATAAGGCGGACAATACCCTTACTAGAATCAATCCAACTTTGAGTTTCATGTCCCTCTCAGTTCCAAGGGCTGTACAGTTGGAGATGATCCCTAAAGAAGTGACTGCAGATAGTGAATTGAGCAAGTTAGTGTCTAACGGACAGGGAAAGCCACCAAGACAGGATACTCGTTATCGGAAGGCATACTCTTTAACGGGAATGTGGTTCTACCTAAAAATTGTACTGTCGTACCTATAGAGCTACAGGAGGGTCACGATACAAAGATTGGAGGTCACTCAGGCTTTCTCAAAACCTATAAACGTGTTATTCAGGATGCGTATTGTCCAAGTATGAAGGACATCATGGATTACGTGTCACGTTCAGTGTGTCAGCAGAATAGGTATTTAGCATTGTCACCCAGTGGACTACTATATCCTCTTCCTGTTTCGAAGTTCATCTAGTCTGATGTATCCATGGACTTCATAGAAGGTTTGCCGAGGTCTAGGGGGTGGGACACTATATTGGTGGTGGTGGACAGACTGAGTAGATATGGACATTTTATCAGCCTCAAACATCCATTCACTGCTTTGGGGTGGCTGAGGTATTTATTCGGGAGATGGTACGCTTACACAGGGTGCCTCACTCTATCGTATCTGATCGTGATCATATCTTTTTGAGTAGATTTTGCGCTGAACTATTCAAGTTGCAGGGGATGGCCCTCAAATACAGCACGGCCTATCACCCGCAAACAGACATAGTAAATCATTGTCTGGAAACATATCTGCAGTGTTTTGCATCCAGCAGGCCACAAGCCTGGAGTCAATGGCTTCCTTAGGCCGAGTTTTGGTATAACACCTCATTTCACTCTTCATCCAAGCATACTCCCTTCCTGATTGTTTATGGACGGGACCCACCTCCAATAATTCCGTTTGAAAAAGGAGTTACAGCCAACTCCACAGTGGAACAGTTACTGCAAGATAGAGATGAGACCCTCTGGGAATTGAAAATGCAGCTTCCCCGAGCACAACAGCAGACGAAACAGCAAACCGATGGACATCGTCGTGATATTCATTTTGCCGTTGGGGATTGGGTATATCTCAAGCTCCGACCGTACAGCCAGAAAACTGTCTATAAAAAGCTGAATGAGAAGCTGGCTCCGCAATACAATGAACCGTTTGAGGTGGAAGCAAAGGTGAGTCAGGTCGCGTATAAACTGAAGCTGGTTACTGGAATCCTCCAAGGTCATCTGAAGAGGCTAACAATCAACAGAAATTTCCAAAATGTGGACTATTTGAATTGAATTATTAATATATTCATTGGCTTCAATTTCCCTTTCCAAATTTTTTTCTTTTGTTTCTTCTCTCTCCCAACTTCTACTCTCTATTCTGTCTCTCTCTTGTTCTTCATCAATTATTTTTCTGAAGTACAGTGTTGTTGAATATCACAGATAAGCTTAAAGTGGCTCCACTGATGAATGGGGGCTAAGTAGTGAATGGAAACGGATAGACAAATAGAAGCATAAATTAAGTAACACATGAGATACCCAATAGCAATCTAAAATAAAAAGAGAAAATTGAGGACTCACTGAATCTACTGATGAAATTATAGACACCACACACATCACAAGGGCCATCTTCAAGTGAAAGACAGGCATACCTCATTGTAGAGGGTAAGGAAATCTGGACCACGAAGACGATCCCAATGCATCAGAAGTATCAGCTCGACAGTACTTCATCCTCGAAACATGCTTTCTGCAGTGGCCAGATACTATATTTTAGGAAGGCACATTCAAATCACAACCTTTATAGTTATATACTCCAGCTTCAGTCAGAAGGAAGGCCGTACCCTACGGTAATGGCAAGACCTAGTGGGACCTGTGTTTATACAAGTAAACTGAAAATCTATAGCAAGAAGCAGAATGCAGGAGGAAAATATGAACTTACTGCATAAATTAGAAATACACGATGATCGAAAACTGATACTTTGCGAAGTTACTGCAAAAATGTCAGGTGACACAAAAGACTCGAGAGTATACTTTTACAAAACAACGAGTATAATAATCTAAGTAACAAAAACCATTTCAAAAAATAACTACCAATAATATCTGCATTGCACCAATTTCTACACAGGCACCAAGTCGTGGGAAACCATAGCTATAGAAAGAAAGTCCAACAGCAGCAATAGTAGGGGACACCACCACTACCCGAAGAGCAAAAGGTAAGCGAACTGGAGATGAAATAATGGGATTTTGAGGGGAAAAATCAAAAGGAACAAGAAAATCCATAGTTTTGGCCTTTGGGGCAAATGATAACATGCTTTGATATGATTTCACATTACATTAAACATATACAACATGGAGGACCCTTTTTCTTGATAAATCCAAGAAACTTAAACATACCAAGCATTAATAACCCAAAGGGGCATCACAATTTCATAAAAAAATAATTCAGTCAATCAATACCCTATATTTGACAATTCCCTCTTGTTAACTACTAAATAGTATCTTCATGACTGGGGCAAGGATTAGAAGTAAAAGTAAAAATTTACACAAAAGGTTTATAGATGAACTAAGTGGCTGTATAAGAACAGAATTATGCTTCCGGATAAAAAAGAGCATTCAACTTCACATAAATTAACTACTCCACCATATAATCTATAGCTCCTCCTATTCAGAAAATAAAAAAATAGAAAACTTTCAACAACTCATTTTTCAAAAAAAAATACTATTTCACCCATTTTCATTTCCCAAAAATGGGGGCCAAACGGGGGCTAAGTCTTTTACCATGTTAACAGTTTTATAGTTAGGATTTTGCACTTTATTTCTAGGCATTCTTGTCAAACTAGGCAAAGTTGGCGAGAGATCTAGTCCATTTAGACACTCTAATCTTCCTCACTATCTTTGCATAGAGGACATTTTAATAAAAGGTCACTACAGAAAGAACAATTGAGGGGAATATATTTTTGGTGGGAATAAATTTCATTTTGGTCAAAAAAAATCGACTAGTTGGAAAAATTTCCCAATTTTTAACTATTATCAAGGAGACCACGAGCATACATGGCATGTCCATTGACATTCTGTCAGTTGGGACCCCAGATTCATCACAATATTTGGAAAAGCTACAAAATACAGTGAGAACAAATTGAGTTTCAACACAATAGATTCCCAAAAAATGGATGGACAATCTCAAAGAGTGGTTCAAATTTTGAATGAAATTTCAAGCATGCGCAGTTGACTTCGAAGGAAGTTGGGATTAGCATATCTCCTTGACATATTCTATATGAAGCTCTATTATATTAAAGAATGACGTGACGGGAGGTGCACTCAAAAAACTTTCCCAGCAGGATTAGCATATGTCCTTGACATAGTTCTATATGAAGCTCAATTATATTAAAGAATGACGTGACTGGAGGTGCACTCAAAAAACTTTCCCAGCAGTATGAATATCCAAATGATAAAAAATTGAAAGGAGACCGTACTTATAACTGGTATCCAGTGAAAAGCAGGAAAATAAAAGTCAAAAGAAGAAGATACTTCGGTTGATTCTCTACCTCTTTACCTAGTTTAGGCTTGAGCCATGGATAGCTTATGATCACTAAGAATTATAATAGCAAGGTATTCTACTATTTTCTCTTCTCTTCTGAGCTTGAAGCATGAGAAAATCACATGATGTGTTAAGCTTTACTATACATAAAGCCTTTTCATACATGGAAAAGCTTATTACACTTGCTAACCATCAATCCAACGTACAAAATTCTTAGAACAATTTCTATCATCCTGGATTTGTGTTGATTAAGTTTTAAAATGCCTGAGACGTAAAACAGCAGACTTACTAGCAATCAACAATAGCGAGAAATGGCTTTTAATCTGACGAATTAAACAGTACAGTACCAAAAAATAAATAGCTGCATTCAGTATTCACCCAATTATTTTTGTTTATACAGGAACAATCCAGTAAACCTTCAGGCAGAGACCGCTGTTAGCAAACAAACAGACATAAATAATCCATATAAATAAAGGACACATATGTTACAAGGATTGTTTATGTATCCAAAGCTTAAAGGAACAACACATGTTGCACTACAGAATGGAAATGAATCATGAAAGACTATCCATCTCCCAACCATGTAATATTTAAGAATATGTCTAGGCTAACTAATCCACAAATTCATCTCCAAAACATTCGAACGTGTAGAGCCTCTGGGAAGTGTATAATTCTAGTGTCAGATACATTTTCCCTGACAAAATCTAAACAATTGTTAAGAGGAATCACTAAGGTTATCATTTATCAATTTCATATTAACTAAGTTCATCATACCATAAGCCCTTCCGAGGTTTGATTGCATGATTAAAATAGCTGCCAAAATACCAATGACAACTTGGCTTCTAGTCTATAACAAGAACCAAGTGAACAGTAGAAATCAATGTTTTAGGGCAATAAGCTTCTCAGCAGTAATAATATAATGTAGACTTTCAACAATTACATATAAAGTAATAACGGAACAGCAGCATCCAACAAAAGAGAACAAGTTTAAAATGTGATAAAGAATAAACTCACACCTTATTAGTATTGTCATCAATCCACTGTATCCCAAGAATGCTTGAAAAGCAAAACCTATAATTACAGCTCCCTGTAGCTCTTTCATTATATGCTTGAAATTCTGCACCATAAAACTTTCTGAATAAACTACATTGAGAAAACAACTCATGGTGAAAACAATTATAATTTCAACATACAAGAGTGAAGTTACGTAGAAATTGTATCAATTCTTGACACTTGACAGTATATAGCAATGTCCTTCTACAAATAATAGAGCATAGGAAGTACTTCATTCAACAACGCAAAGTGTCCACTTTATTTTTTTCAGATAGTGTGGCTAGACAACCCACATTCTGATGCGGACATCCATTTACTATTTATTTTCTTTCATTTACTATTTATTTTCTATTTGAACTATTAGTTATATTCTATTTGGATTATTATTTATATTTCTGTTATTGGGCTTGTTTAGTGGATTTAGCCCAAGCCCTTCTCTTTAGGGTTTTTGTTTTATTCTTTATTTCTGTTTTGTTGCGTATTTGAGATAGTTGATGAATTGATTGAATAATAAAGTGGCTGTAGCCCTGTTTTTCCTCTCTTCTTCCCTCTCTCTGTGTTCTTCTCTCGGTTCCCCCTTCTCTTTTCCTCTCTTTCTTGCTTCTTCTTTCTATTTTTTAATTCGTCCTGCATCAAAGTGGTATCAGAGCCAAAATTTGGGTAGTTTTTCATCCACAATCCAAAACTTTCTTTCTATCCTCTTCCCAAAAACTTGTGGAACAACACAAACAAAAAAAAATTGTTATGAAACAACAGTTTTCTTGTTCAATTTTCTTTCTAGTTGATTAGGCAAAAAAAAAAAAAAAAAAAGTCACTGTTGATGGGTACTGTTCACACCCGGAATTTCAGTTTTTTTTTTTTTTATAAATTTTTAAGCAGTTTCACAAAAAAAAAAAAATTATTACTGTTCACGAGTACTATTCACACCCGAAATTTCTTTTTTTTTTTAATTTATCATTTTCTGCAGTTCCAAAAAAAAAATCGTCACTGTTCACGTGTACTGTTCACACCCGAAATTTCTTTTTTTTATTTTTTATTTATCATTTTCTGCAGTTCCCAAAAAAAAAAAGTGAAAAAAAAGAGAAGAAACGTTTTTTCTATTATTTACAGGTACATCTTTTATTCTGATTGATCTGACTTGACTACTTCGACGAACGAAAGGGAAATTCTTGCTTTTATTTATTGTTGGTTTATATTACTGTTTCATTTTGAAATTGCATCAATTAAATTTTTGTACTGCTGCTGATCTATTTTTATCTAAACTCACGTAATTGGATCCATTGACCTCGTTAAATCTCACTTTAACCTGCTTATTTTACGTGATTAGGTTTTGACTAGTATTTGACCATTGCTTTATTATTTTACATATACCAGCAGTAATAGCTTGTTGTATATAATTTTAATCCCAAAATTTAAATTAAAAAAAAAATAGCTCAAATTTTCATTTTCCATTACTTGTACTTTTTGTTCGTTGATCTCTCTATTGCATGTCATTAAGTTGCTATTACAGTGCATGTAGTTACATATTGGTCATTTTGTTGCATTGCTTTATTATTTTACATATACCAGCAATACTAGCTTGTTGTATATAATTTTAATCCCAAAATTTAAATTAAAAAAAAAAATAGCTCAAATTTTCATTTTCCATTACTTGTACTTTTTGTTCGTTTATCTCTCTATTGCATGTCATTAAATTGCTATTACAGTGCATATAGTTACATATTGGTCATTTTGTCACTTCTAGCTCTAGTACCTTAAACATGAACCCTTCACAATTCGATGCACTCACCCGACAAATAGCGGCTATTCAAACTCAAATGACCGCTACTCTTGAAGAGAGTAAGGCCCTATCTGTTAGTTTGAAAAATTTTAAACACATCCCTCATTCAATTGATGTTGATAATTCTAAGGTGTCTCATAATAGACAACATCGTCGACAAGGTAATCAAAAATACTTTCAACCCGATCATAAGGATAGGGATAGGAATAGGGATCAAATTCGTGAGTGAGAACGAGATAATTTTGAAATTCTTACTCAATGGAATGCCCTTAAACAAGGAAATCAATTAGTGACTGAGTATATCGCGCAATTTGAGGAATTTCGAACCAAATGTCATTTAATTGAGGATGAGAGCACGACTTTGAGTAGGTTTAGCCAAGGTCTAAGAGATGATCTTAAGCGCGAGCTTTTCCTTCGAGGTGTCACTACTCTTAATCACGCTTACTCTTTAGTTCGAAATTATCAGTTGATTATTAGTACTGCATATGAAAGTGTGGTCATCTCGCCTCATCACAAGTCTATCATAAAACCTTCTCCGTCTAATGTTCCTTCTATTTGGAAAAATAATTGTAAAGGTCGTGATAGTCCAAGATCTTCTTCTCCAGGTAGAAAGCATATTGACAATCATCATTCGGTGTCACTGGCTCCACTTCCTCCCGTTAAATCCCTTCTAGGACCTCCCCGTCTGATGTTCCTCCAATTTTGAAAAATAAGGATAAAATTTTTTATAATCATTATTTGGCTTCATTGGCTCCACCTCCTTCCGTTAAGTCCCTTCTAGGACCTCCCCCTTCTAATGGTTCCCAGAAAATCAGGGTAAAATTTTTGAAACTCCAAGGTCTTCTTTTCACTTGTTGTGCGTCAACTGTAAAGACTTTGGTCACATTTCTTCTAAATGTCCTAATCGAACCTTAGTCATGGAAGAACGAAAGAATGTAATAGAAAAGCCATTGGAAGATTTAGTCTATGAACCTAAACTTGAAGATTTTGATGACTTGGATGATAGTGAGGACACTTCCTTAGGTGGAATCCAAACTCTTTCCAAGACTTGGGATACTATACCCCTTATCTCTGACAATTCTCGATCACATGTTATATGTCATACACTTACCCAAGTTAAAAAGCTTGACGGTGTCACCAGTCACCCTTGGAAAATTCAGTCGCCTGTGGTTAATACTAAGGCAAAATTATTCACCATTGACCAACCTCAAATTGATGGTCGCAACAAAAGTGCTAATCAAAATCCTGACAATTTATTACAGTCTCTAGTCCAGAAAAATCTTGAAAATTGGGACTTGATCCCTCCAATTGTTCAAATTGCATATAACAATCCCATGAACTGTTCTTTAGGTCTAAAACCCTTTGAAGTTATTCTTGGTTGTGAACCTTTGAAACCTCTAAACCTTATTCCCATGCACTCACATGCTTGTGTGTTTATGTCAGTTGAGGTAGTTGTATCACATTTTCATAGCTTGCATATTGAGATCAATAAATAATTTGAAGCAAGTAAAGCATTATATAAACCTCAAGTTGATTGGCATAAACAATACTTTGAATTTAATATTGGGAATTATGCTATATTGCAAGCGTGTAATGCTGATCTTTTTAAAATTTCAAAGCAAGTTGGTCAAAATGCCTATGTCAATGACCTTTTATCACATTATGACCACCGCCCTTTTTTATTTGTTACAGACTTCGATGCTTACACCGGCTATTTTAGCCCCTCTGATGACCCGTTTCTACTCCCACATGAGAATTCCCACACTGAATCTTTTGCCATGTCTGCTTCAATCCCACCTATTACAGCACACGAAAATAAAATTGATATTATTTTGGATGAACAGCTTGTGTTGACCAATGATAGAGAAATTCAATGCTTTCTTGTTCGTTGGATGGATCGACTTGATTCTGACGGTACATGGATTCCCAAAGAGAGACTTCAGTGGCGTGAGCCAAATTCATTGGAGCTTTATAAGAGTCAGCAATATTCTCATTCGCCTAAGTTATCTTGGTCAGCTCATGTTTTTGCGGGTAATTTGCAATTGGTGTCGTCATCATTTGTGGAATTTCGATATTTGGTTCGTCAGAAAGATCGTCCCCCATGGCATGACTTGGAGCCTTTAGCATCAGATTCATTGCAACATTTGGATTTATCCACTCGAAGGGGTCGAGTTTTTTTCCCACCCCGAGAGAGTGGATGCGGACATCCATTTACTATTTATTTTCTTTCATTTACTATTTATTTTCTATTCGGACTATTAGTTATATTCTATTTGGATTATTATTTATATTTCTGTTATTGGGCTTATTTAGCGGGTTTGGCCCAAGCCCTTCTCTTTAGGGTTTTTGTTTTGTTATTTATTTCTATTTTGTTGCGTATTTGAGATAGTTAATGAATTGATTGAATAATAAAGTGGTTGTAGCCCCGTTTTTCCTCTCTTCTTCCCTCTCTCTGTGTTCTCCTCTCGGTTCTCCCTTCTCTTCTCCCCTTCTCCTTCCTATTTCTTGTTATTCATCCTACATCACATTCATTCTAGATTTTTGGCTATAATTGGAATAAGTGGAGTTTGTATTGTTATTGTTTGGGAGCATGACATTAAAAAACAAATTTCTGGATAACAGTTATACATCATCATCACTAGGCTTTCAGTTTTGCTTAACGCATAAAGCCTATTCAAATGCCCATCAATCTATCTCCACCATCATTATCTCTAATTGAGTATTTCTTAGTGCATAAACATAATTCTGTTTCAACAAATAGACATCAATCAGTTGACGAAAGAAGTATATTTTCCTCAGTGTCGATGATGTGCTTGTGTGTATATCTATTTCTTTTCCACATGTAACAAGATAACAACATGCTCAACATAACAAATCACTGAAATCTAGATACTTATATTTCCATTCAATCACAAAAATTTGGCTGAGTTAATTATTGCAAGTGCTGGAGCCAGATAAAGAAAAGAAGGGCCCTGTAACAAGGGCAATCTCGATCCAAATGATGTGTGGAAAAGTGTTGTCACTCTTGTCATAAATAACTTGGGGCAAAAGACATTTGCTGCATCCTCCTATGCCCACTAACATCCTGATAAAGATTTAAACAGGAAGCAGAAGAAGAATATTAAGAAAGCTTGAATAAATATTTCACACCTTTTTATTGAACATGTCGAGGCTATTTATAGCCTTCAAAACGATAACAATAATGCAAAAATTAAGCTACGGATTTAGGAAAAATAATCAGCAAGACTTATCCACTTGGACTTATTCACTAACAACCTGAAACAGAATAACAAACTCAGAAACAAACTTGACTCCAGCACGTGACTTGACATTATTTGCTACTTGCATGGCTTTATCAATCCCCCCCACTTAAAGATCCTTGTCCGCAAGGATAAAATTTGGATATCTCTTTGTAAAGCGCCTTTCATTTTCCCAGGTTGCATCTTCCCTTGGAGCCCCCTTCCATTTAATTAAAACCTCAGACTTTGGACGATAATTTCCTTTATGAATGAGTCGACGATCCAAGACAGCTTCAGGTTTGGGAAGAATAATAGAATCATCTGTTGCTGGTGGAGGTTGTCTTGAAATTGGAGTGATTAACGGACCCAAATGCTTCCGTAACATGCTAACATGAAACACATCATGAGTTTAGGAGCCAGAAGGGAGAGCTAACCGATATGCCACTGTACCCACCTTCTCAATAATCTGATAAGGACCAAAAAAACGTGGGGCAAGCTTCATTGAAGCTCGAAATGCCACTGACGTTTGACGATATGGCTGGAGCTTCAGATACACATAGTCACCTACTTCAAAGGAGACCTCCCGCCGATGTCGATCGGCTTGACACTTCATTCGATGTTGGGCTACTGAAAGATTGTGACGCAATTCACGTAGAATGACATCTCGATCATGTAGGTATTCATCAACTGCTTGGATGTGGGAAGTGCCAGGAATGTAAGTGAGTACACTTGGGGGTGGAATACCGTATACAGCTTCGAAGGGCGTCATTTTAGTGGAGGAGTGGATAGATGTGTTATAGCTAAACTCAGCCCAAGGAATCCATTCCAGCCATTTCCGTGTCGACCGCCTGCAAAACATCGTAAATATTGCTCCAAGGTACGGTTTACTACCTCCGTTTGGCCATCAGATTGAGGATGGTAGCTTGAGCTCATGCAAAGCTTGTTTCCTTGTAATTGGAATAATGCTTGCCAAAAGGAGCTGATAAACACCTTATCTCGATCACTGACAATGGATGTGGGAATGCCATGGAGACGAACTATATTGGCTTCAAATGCTTTGGCAACAATGATTGCGGTAAATGGATGTTTCAAGGCTACAAAGTGGGCATACTTTGTTAAGCGATCAACGACTACCATGATGACAGTATGTCCATTTGATGGCGGTAATCCTTCAATAAAATCCATTGAGACATCAATCCATATTTGAGCCGGAATTGGTAAGGGTTGTAATAGCCCAGTCGGCTTCATACAATATGTTTTGTACTGTTGACAAATAGTGCATTGCTGTAGAAATTCCTTGACTGTCCTGCACATATTAGACCACAAGAAGCTGAGTTTAATACGGGAAAAAGTCTTATGGAACCCAAAGTGTCCTCCCGTAGGCGTTGAGTGGCAATCGAAAATTATTTTCTGAATCAAGTTTGAAGTTGGGCTCAAGTAAACCTTGTCATTTTTAAACCACACTCCATCTCGTTGAACCAACTGGTGGACTGACTGTGTTTGGCTTAGTTTTGTATAGAAGGGATCCTATGACACCTCACTTTGTAATATTGACCACGAATCCGCACGTGGCATGGAAATGGATAGGAATTGAAATTCGACCACACGGGACAATGAATCAGCAGCTTGATTTTCGGGCCCCCGCTTATACTCAATTTCATAATCATATCCAAGGATCTTTGGAAGCCATCGAGTTTGTGCTGGGGTAGTGATCCGCTACTCAAGTAAATATTTAAGACTTTTTTGGTCTGTGCGAATTGTAAACGATTTTCCGAGAAGATATGGGTGCCATTTTTGAATAGATTTGACACTGGCTAACATTTCTTTCTCATAGGTAGACAGTAACAAAGCTGATCCTTTCAAAGCCTCGCTGAAGTAAGCTACTGGTCGATTTTTTTGAGATAAGACTGCTCCAATTCCAATCCTACTTGCATCACATTCAATCACAAACCGTTGGGAGAAATCGGGAAGACGTAGAACTGGTGGCGATGTCAACGCTTTCTTCAACCTTTTAAAGGCTAACTCGGCTGCCTCATTCATTTAAATCCTTCCTTGGATAAGAGTTGAGTTAATGGGGCAGCTATACATCTAAAATCTAGTATAAATTTTCGATAATATCCTGCCAACCCGAGAAATCCACGTACTACCTTGGTTGTGGTGGGTGTTGGCCATTCAAGGATAGCTTGTATTTTTGTTGGGTCCACAGCCACTCCATGCTCAGAAATAATGTGACCTAAATAGTCAACTTGGGTAACACCAAACTTGCACTTTGTCCTTTTAGCAAATAAATGGTTAGTTTCCAGAATGGTGAGAACTATATGTAGATGTGAGAGGTGATCTTCCCATGTTTGTGAATACACTAGAATATCGTAAAAAAAAACCAAGATAAACTTCCGAAGATAGGGGCAGAAGAGGTCATTCATGAGGCTTTGGAAGGTGGAAGGTGCATTGGTGAGGCCAAATGGCATTACAAGGAACTCGTAGTGCCCTTCGTGTGTCCAAAAAGCTGTTTTCTGAATGTCTTCTTCTTGTACCCGAATTTGGTGATAGCCAGCTTTTAAATCTAACTTGGAGAAGAATTTGGCTCCATGGAGCTCATCTAAGAGCTCATCAATAACCGGAATAGGGTATTTGTCCTTGATTGTTAAATGGTTCAATGCTCGATAGTCTATACAAAATCGCCAATCACCATCTGCCTTCTTCACTAATAGAACCGGTGATGAGAATGGGCTATTACTTGGTCTTATCAATCCGGATTGCAGGAGCTCCCTCACCATCTTTTCAATTTCAGTTTTTTGGTAATAAGTATATCGATATGGCCTAACACTTACTGGCTCCTTGTTTGGCTGTAGGGGAATGCGATGATCATGTAACGCTTTGGCGGTAGGTTAGTCGATGATTCAAATACTTTATGAAAAGTGGTTAAAAGCTAGGTTAGGTCAGGAGGGTAGGAGTTTAGCTGGGAGCTATCTACTGAGAGTAAGATTTGAAAGAGAAGTCCACTACCTTGTAGGCAACCAAATTCTTTTTCCGTTAAAGCTTCGATGCTAGCCTGTTTTCGTCCTTGGAATGTGCGGGAAACTTCTCCAACTTTGAAGGTCATTGTTAGCTGCCTATAGTCTGTCTCGATTGGACCGAGAGTCTCCAGCTATTGTACTCCTAAAACCAATTAGCATGCGGCAACAGGGAGAACATAATAATCTGCAGTGATGGGTTTACCTTGGATGGTAATGGTGAGTGCTTGGCATTGTCCAGCACAATCTATTTTCTCTCGATTGGCTACCATGACTTGGAATTTCTTATCGTGGATTACTGGTAACCCATACTTGTTGACTATAGATTGATCGATGAAGTTGTGGGTGCTACCACTGTCTATGAGTACAGTAACATTCTTGTTTTTCAGCTTGCCCAATACACGTAAAGTTTGAGGATGGTTTGTCCCAAAAATTGCATGGAAAGAGATTTCGGGCGTAACTTTTGGATCCTCAGGTTCATGTTTAGCAAGATCATCTCCATCAAAGCTTGGTTGAGGTAAATCTTCCATCATAAATAATTGCGAGCATTCACACCGATGGCCTGGAACAAATTTCTCATCACAGTAGTAACATAACCCATTGTCACGTCGCTCTCATGCCTCTTGATTGGTGATACGTCGAAATGTGGTCAGAGTCATATTTGAGTTTGGGTTCCCATGCTGGCTAGGTGGAGGGCCAAGTATGCCGGCTGTTTGGTTGAGGCTCGTCTTGGGTGCCATCATGGCTGGTTAGGAACGAATTGGTTGGTTTGATTTCTTCTGTAATTGATTTCGTTCTTCAATTAATCGGGCAACTCCTATTGCATCAGCCAAGGTGCTAGGTTGTTTGATTTTTACATCTATGCGAATATCGTCTCGAAGTCCCACAATAAAACAACCAATAAGAAATGTTTCAGGCAGGCCATCAACTCGGTGGGAAAGCTTTTCGAAAGCTTCCTGATATTCAGCCACATTGGTAGTTTGTATAAGCCGAGTTAAAGCCTCAGATGGATCCTCATAATCTGTGGGGCCAAAACGAAGAAGGACTACCTTGGTAAACTCCGCCCAAGTGAGTGGTCCGCAAAATTTTGTCAACCACCGGTGCCACTGTAAAGCAATGCCCTCTAGATGGAAAGAAGCCAACTGCACTTATTGGTCGCAAGCAATGTTTTGAAACTCAAAGTATTGTTCCGCCTTGTAAACCCAGCCACTTGGATCCTCGCCGTTGAACTTAGGAAAGAGCAGCTTGATATGCTGGTGATAATTGTCATTAGGGGTTTTAGGCCGCAGAGCATCTGGAGAGTGTGAGGTTTCACCTGGGTAAAATGGGTTAACATCAGCTGGACTAGTGTGTGTTGTGTTAGAGACCTTTAAAGCCTGTAACTCAGTTAATACAGTTCGTAGAGCCATATTGATTTGGTCGAAATTGGACTCATGTCGAGCCAAGGATTCATTCACCTCATTGCGAAATTCCGCATTGGTTTTGCCACGAGTGTCCATAATCAGAACCGGCTCTGATACCACTGATAAAGATGTAAACAGGAAGCAGAAGAAGATAAGGATTTAAACAGGAAGCAAAAGAAGAATATTAAGGAAGCTTGAATAGATATTTCACACCTTTTTATTGAACATGTCGAGGCTATTTAGCCTTCAAAATGATAACAATAATGCAAAAATTAAGCTACGGATTTAGGAAAAAGAATCAGCAAGACTTATCCACTTGGACTTATTCACTAACAACCTGAAACAGAATAACAAACTCAGAAACAAACTTGACTCCAGCACGTGACTTGACATTATTTGCTACTTGCATGGCTGCATGGCTTTATCACATCCATTAGTCAATTCATCCAAATTACAAAATCAACACAAACATGAAAGTTTTATGCTATTAACTCACATAAGTGCCGCCCATTGCTGGAAATATTACCAGCGGAATTAGTATCAAGGAACCCAACATTGACAGGTAATGTTGAAATCCATACAGACCAATGGGAACTGAAATATCAGAACCAAAAGAGTGCAGTTACATTACCCTTCAAATTTTGATACAAACAAAAATTCTTTATCTATGAAAATAAATGACATCAATATCGTTGTAGTTATGTTTCGTATTGAAACGACTTCAACGTAGGAAAAATTGTACTTGAACGATTTTAATGTCGTTATGAAAATAACATAACAACATCGATGTCACTTTCGTACAATTTTGATGACTTTGAGATTGTTCCAATTCAAATTATAGCTATATAACATTTATATAAGTTCTTTTCATATAAATGATAATTATATCGTCCTGGCTAAAAATGACAATTCGATCGTCCACGGCCCAACATGCCTCTGATAGACGTAGGACGATCGAAATAAGTCATCAAGTGGGTTGATACCACTCAAATGGTTTAGAAAGAACAAACGAAGATAGTTTCTGCTGGAATAGTTCGAAAGTGGTATGCAATCATTGGAACACAAATGTTCCCATAGTTTCTTTCGAATGAGATCGAACCTACTTGATTCCCTATTTTGACCATCTTACATATGTCAGATGCATGTCTGGTGGTCGTGAATAGTTGAATCATTGTTTTTAGTAGAAATGATATAATTGTTGTTTTACTTTAACTGAAACGATATATATATATATATATATATATATATATATATATATATATATATAGTTTTAGTTATGATTTAAACTAAAACGATATCAACGTCGTCGAACTTGTATTGAAACGATAATGACATCGTTATGTATTAAAATCATAAGTAAACAAACGATATTCATATCGTTTTAGTACAATTTTTGACTAATTTGAAATCGTTTCAATTCAAATTACAATTACAACGATATAGATATCGTTTCTTTTCATATAAAACGATAATGGTATCGTTTTGGCTAAAACCAATTATTCGACCTTCCACAATCACCCGTCATGCCTTCAACATACGTAGAACAATCAAATGAGGTCATCAAGTTGGTTAATACCACTTGAATAGCTTAGAAAGAGCCAACAAAGATATTTTCTACCGAAATAATTTGAAGATCTTATATAATCATGGGAACACAAATGTTCCCATAGTTTCTTTTGAGTGAGATCGAACCCATTTGATTACCTATTTCGATCATTTTACATATGTTTGGTGGTCATGGACTGTGAAATCATCGTTTTTAGACATAAGATATGAATATCGTTTTATTTTCGAAGAAACGATTTATAGGTCGTTTTAGTTCTTATTTGAACTGCAACGAGTTTGAACTCGTCAAATTTGTAATGAAACGATATGGATATCATTATTATCAAATCACGATATAATGTAACGTCGTTCATATCGTTTCATTACAAATTTTGACAAGTTTGAAATCGTTACAGTTCAAATAATAACTATAACTACATTGGTATCGTTTCTTTTCACTTGCAACGACAATTATATTGTTATGCTTAAAAATGATGATTCGATCATCCATGGCCACCCCGCATACATCCGTCGTACATATGATGATAAAAATAAGTCATCGAGTAAGTTCAATCTCACTTAAACGAAGCTACGAGAACATTTGTGATTCCATAATTATCTTTCACATTTGAGTTCTTTTCATATAAAGCGATAATTATATCATTCTAGCTAAAACTAATGATTCAACCGTCCACAACCACCCGTCATGCCTTCAACATACATAGGACGATCGAAAGATGTCATCAAGTGGGTTGATACCACTCAATTGACTTAAAAAGAGCAAACGAAGATACTTTCCGTCAGAATAGTTCGAAGGTGGTATACAATCATGAAAACAAAAATATTTTCATAGTTTCTTTTGAGTGAAATTGAACCCAATTAATTACATATTTCGATCATCTTGCATATGTTAGGTGCATAACTAGTAGTCAGGGACGGTCGAATCATTGTTTTTAGCAGAAACAATATAATTGTCGTTTTATTTTAACTGAAACGATATGTGTGTAGTTTTAGTTATGACTTAAACTAAAACGATATCAACATCCTCAAACTTGTATTGAAACGATAATGATGTTGTTATGTATCAAAATCACAAATAAAGTAATGACATTCATATCGTTTTAGTATAAATTTGACGAGTTTAGAATCGTTCTAATTCAAATTACAAGTATAATGAACATAGATATCGTTTTTTTCATATAAAAAGTTAATTATATCGTTTTGCATAAAAATAACGATTTGACCGTTCACAAGCACATATCATGCCTTCAACATATGTAAGACGATTGAAAGAGGTCATCAACTGTAACTATATGACCGTCGTTGCATTTCAATAGCACAATGACTACGGAATTTAATAAATCATCTTGTGCTTCGAATAAGCACAAAATTATAAAGTTACGAGTCAGGACAATATTACAACCTTAATCTCAGACGATTATTACTCGAGAACTTCAAGAATCAAGAATGTTTTAGGAAAATTTTATAAAAATATAAATGAACGGATATAATCTTTATGGGTCCATTGAATAATTTTGATCATTTATAATCTCAGCACTGTCACAAATTTAGAAACTTGGATTATGAATTATGATGATAAACTAGGAAGTTCGCCTAGCATATAAGTCAGCCATTGCATTATAGTTTCTATCATACACATATATATACACATGCTTTCGACCTACATCTTGATGAAACTGAAGGAATAAATTGCTTAAGATGCTGGACTACTTATTTCTATGTAAACAAGTCATTCACCAGTAGCATCTAAAGAAAAAAGGGGGAAAAAAACAAGGTTCCCCATTTTTCTTTGGGTTGGGATGGGAAGGGTTGACGCCATATTCGACCTGCTATACCAAATTCCTCTTAGAGCAAAATTGAATAAATCTGTCCCTCAAGAGAGCTGCAGTACGAAATCACAAATTAAAACATCCAAGTTTCTGAATCTTTCTATTGAAAGCAAGTAAATGAGCAAGATAACACAATGATGATTATGTAGGTTGCAGGAAATAATTTCAAATCAATTATCCACTATAAATATAAATGAACTAATAAAAGAGTGTGCTCCAACAGAAGCTAAAGTACTGGTTTCTATTTCAAGGGATTGGTTTGTTCCATCTTATTTGAGAATAAAAACATGCAGTCCACTGATATCTTATGAGTGTACTCGTAACCATTTGAAGTCGTAAATAGATTCTTTAATCATTCGATTTTTTCAATTAAATTTCGAAACAGTTGTGAATTGATGTTCAACACCTTTTTGACTTTTTATCATATAATTCCATATAAGAAAGTTTTTGCAACAAGAATATGAGTTGTTTTCGTTTGCCATTCCCTGCATATTTTCATTTTTAAACACATTTAATCGATTGCTCATATTCAACTAGAAAACAAACTGATATTCATACCATATTCGCAGTGTCCATAATTGTAATTCAATATAAAAATTTCATCAAATTTTGAACATTGTACAGTACTGATAACGATATGTTAGTCATTATGGATTGCATAAAATGACATATAAATCGTTATGTATAGACGAAAATTAAATATATGTTTTACAGTAGACCAATAAAAAGAATATACAAACATGCCTTTTCAAACTTACACTTCACTCTAACTGATACAAATGATGAGTAATGAGAAAAGGGTTTGAAAGTAACCCATATCAAAATTCTAATATAATGATAAAATTAATTCAAAATCATTGCTCACAAATAAAAACCATAAACGTATATACAACAACATGAAGAAATTATTCAAAAAAAATAGACAAAGAAACTAACCCAAAAATTGAAAATTACAACACCCCCTTCTTTTCCAAATGCCCAACAATAATATTGCAAGATTTTATTATCCACTTAAACCAAATGAGTATTCAAGGAAAGGGTAATGTAGAGTTTACGGTTTCATTAAGTAGAGAAAAATGATGATGATAGAAGAAATTGCATATCTCTACAGTCGATTTTTTAAGAGCAAATGGAAGAAAGGTAGAATTTAATTATGGTCAAATGGGAATTGAAATGGGAATTAAGGCAGCAATATCTTTTTTGTATGTAAGGTCATTTTAGTCATTTACAAATTATATTTTTCATATTTTTCATATCTTTAGGCCTTCTACCCAAAAAACTTAGTTTGTGGACTTTTTAAACTAATGTTTTGTTTGACTAGGCTTTTTAAATGAAAGCGCCTATATTATTTCCATATTTTTTCAGATTGGTCTTTCATCAACTTAAAAAAAGTGAAAAAAAATATTTTAAATAAATAATGGACAAAATTTTCACTTTTCCTCATTTTCTACATCGCCAAGAGAGGGAGAAAGAAGAGGAGAAATCGAATTTTATTTTTTTTCCAAAAATCACACAGTCGAATGTTAAGGTTGAATTCGATCGAGCTTCAACATTCTCTCGGTCTACCACATCACCGCCACCATATTTCTTAGAACAAGGTCAGGAATTTTGGGATTTTAAGCATTTGATTTTCCCTTTGAATTGTTTTGTGATTTTTTGTAGATTACAATGTTATTATTGATGTAAATTTCTTATTATTTACGTAGAAAATTATTGGTAGTTAATGGGGCAAAAAAGGGGCCTTGAGGGCGAGCAATCGATGAAAAGTCGGCTAAGCTGACATTCAGTTACACACTTACACTAAAGATCAAAATACTACTATTTCTATGGGTACATCATAAGTTTATGGACGCATATGATCAATGGATATAAACAAAAAAACTACACATTTGATCTTCATAAGGCATCATCCTTCGTTTAAGAAGATCTAAAGTAATTGTAGAGTAGGAACATGCTAGAGGAATGAGAGAATGAATTTTAAAGCACTGACTAATCATATTCAATCGCCATTCCCAAAAAAATTCTCAAGAATTCTCACGCCTAGAAAATTAAATTATTATCATTATCTATACCAACTATAATATCATGATTCAAATAACAAAGCCACATCCATCAAAGAATAAATACAGAAGCAGACCATTAGATGAATCCCAGAAAGAAAATAATGAAAAGGGGCTAGTCCAATCACAATAAAAAATAATCATAAAAATATCTGAACCTGTTT